AGGACAGTGATGTCCAGGGTGAAGGAATGGAGGTGCGAGAAGGGGAGTCCCCACAAAGGGAGGTCGAAGCTGCTTGTGCTGTCCTCGTGGGAAGCCACCTGGTTTTGCCCATGGAAAGTCACCTGGAAGAGGGCCTTGTTGATGGAGAGCAGGAAAAGCCTGAGCATCAGGAAATGCCCATGTGTGAGATGGATCTGGCTGCAGAGGAGGAAAAGGAGCAGGAGACGTGCCCAGGGGAGGAGACGTGCCCAGAGCAGGAGTCCTCAAACATCCATGAGGCCGTCCCAGCAGAAGAGGCTTCATCAGGGACTGAAGAAGATGCCGTTGGAGAGGAGGACCCAGGCAGAGCAAAAGAGGGTGAGGGAGAAAAGGGAGAGGCCGGTGGGGAGGTGCTGGGAGCAGAAGATCCCTGGGCAGGAGAGGCAGCGGGACCTGAAACCCCGGGGCAGGAGAGCGGAGCCCAGGAGGAGCCTGGGGACCTGCAGGAAAACAGCTTTGTGGAGGAGGAGCTGGAGCAGGAGGAGCTGGAGCCAGAGCTGGGAGAGGAGCCCTGGGGCAGGGGGGATGATGGCAACGGGCAAAAGTCCCATCCAGAGGGTTGGGAGGTGACAGCGGGAGACACAGAGGGGACTCTGGGGTTGGAAGAGCCGTCTTGGACGGATGATGCCCCGACAAGCGCAGGAGGGCTGGAAAGTGAGGAGGGAGATGGCACATCGCCAGCAGAGCTGGAGGAAGCCCAGGAGGATGATAAAGAAGATGCTGAGAGCCAGGAGATGAGCCAGCAGCAGCCACCGCCAGAGGCTGAGCCTGCCCCGGAGCTGGCAAGGGATGAGCAGGATGGCACCGCAGGGCAGCCTGCCCCGACACCCGCAGATGTCCCTGGGCAAGGGGACAGCCAGGAGCCGGCCGAGGCTCCGGAGGAGCCGTGGGAGGTGCAGGATGAAGATGCTGATGATGAGCTTGGCTCAGAGCCGGGACAGCCGGAGAGCAGCAGCTCCGGCCCCGCAGCACTCGAGCAGGCACAAGGTGATGGTGCTGAGAGAAGCGAGGAGGAGGAGGAGGAGGATGAGGATGCCGGGCGATCGGGAGAGCTGGAGCCAGCGCCGGGGGCGGGCAGGAGGGTGGAGCTGGAGGACACGCTGCCGGACAGCACACCCTTGCACCTCTACGAAGGAGAGATGCTGGCTGCGGTCGCACCCAGCCAAAACCTTTCGGAGACCGAGGAGTCCACAGAGACAGCCCCTGCACCCGAAATAGCTCCGGAGGATGAAGGATGGCTGGAAGGGAGGGACAAGCCACCAACTCCCACCGTGCCAGAGAGCCACGAAGAGGAAGCAGAGACAGAGGTAGCCCCTGTGGCAGAGGGTGTCGAGGAGGAGGAAGGTTATTTCATGGTCTCTGCTCCCAACCAAGAGGTGTCCAGCTCGGAGGAAGCTGAGATCTCCGAGGATTTTGAAGAAATTAAAGTTGAAGCAATCGAGGCCAGCAAAGATGATCTGGAAGCTCCTGGAGAAGCATCTCCAGTGCCAGAGGACGAAGGGCACTTTGAGGCGTTTGTCGGTGAAGCAGATGAAGACGTGAAGATGCCCACAGAAGAACCTGAGATGCCAAAGGATGAGGATGAGGACGATGCTGGGGGTTTTACTGCTGAGCTGGAGGAAGGTCCGGCTGCACCCGAGGCAGATCCTGGCTCCCCCGGGGCCGTGGGGCTGTTCACAGGAGGTGCTGAGGCAGCCCCAGGTGCCACCAGCTCACCTGAGGGACCAGGACACTCGGAGGATTTGGCCGCGGAACTGGTTGAGGAGCTCGATGACATGGTAGAGCCGGAGAGCGACGCCAGCACAGCCAAAACGCTCCCAGGCTGTGACATGGAGCTGGCAGGGCCGGAGGAGGAGGAGGAGGAGGAAGAGGAGGAGGATCCCGGCAGAGCTCACCATGACACAGCCGAGTCCATCCCTCCGGCCGGGCTCCAGGCCCGGGTGATGCTGGTTTCTCCGGTGCCGGACCGAGCGGAGCAGACAGCGGATGAGCAGCCGTTGGTGGAGGAGGAAGCTCCAGACGGTGACATCCCTCCCCCGGCCGGGGACGAGGAGCCCCCCGAGGCCGAGCCCCCGAGGCCGGGCTCTGTGCCGGAGCAGGGAGGTTTTCCAGAGCGGATTGAAGAAGGCCCAGGCGCGGCGGATCTCTCTGCCGAGGTGCCGGTGGACGTCATGAAAGACTCGGATATTTTGGAAATAGTCGAGAAAGCCCTGGAGTTCAACCAGGAGCTGGTGATGGGGGTGAGGGCGGCCGAGGGTGGGCAACGGGATCTCGGTGGGACCCAGCCCCCCCGTGACACCGGGGAAGACTCCTCGCCCGCCTCGTCCAGCGAGGAGGAACCGACGGTGCAGGAGGCACCGGCCGACGTGGCACCGGGGACGGAAGGTCCGGTTCGGGCCGAGAACGGGCTGCACCGGGAGGCCAGCCTGGAGGACCTGGCCGAATTCACCGAGGAGGTGCCGAACGGAATCGCCGACGTGCCGCCGGCACAGGAGCTCCCCGCGGAGAGCCC